TCTCAATTATTTGTGCACATATTTGGTTACTTTGAGAAAACTCATTTAATTGTGACCTAGAATAGACATATGGTTTATTCATTTAAGTTAAGAGATTGCGATGTGAGACTAAATACATCGTAATACATGGGAGATAATACTCATTATTAGAGGAACTATCACCATGATTCATATATTTGGTCTCTTATTACGTTTGATGGTTGAATAAAATGGACCAAGTGGGAGAATGTTAGCCTTATATAGAAAAGAGGTTACATTTTTAATATTATATTATATAATATTATATCTTTCCTATTTATTTTATTTCTTTTAGTTAATATTATAAAGCAGTTAATATTCTGGAAGTGGTCCATTTTAAAACCGTTTTCAAACGTGTGGGTGTGCCATTATTCCCACAATAATCTCTTTTAACGTTATATACTCTGTGATGGTTTTTGGAGTAATACAGACTCTTTCAGAAAATTTCATATCAGGTCACTGAGCTTGGGTTCAGAAACCAGAAATTAGGCAAGCGTACAACAATGGCTGGAGGTTGGTCTTTCTGCTTCCGCTTTTATTCTTGTAAATCTGAATATGATTAAATGTGCTTGTTTGATATATTTAGATTTATTGAATCTTCAGTATGAATCTGTTACACATTTTTACATAAGGACCATATCCTAAAGTGAATTTGTGAGGAGATTTTATTAATGTAGTCACCATAATGAGTTTCTCAAAATGGTTAGGGAAAAGACACATCGAACAATCCTACTCTGAGAAATATCATAAAGTTATAGGGTAGTGATCAAGATAGTGATTTCAATTGATAAGAATGCAATTCTAAAGATGGATACAGGTTAGTGAGTTGAGAAGTGCATATGGAGAACCATATTTGGTTTTTGTTGTTGCATAAGGTGAAAGTTCTACTTTGGAAATGGTTGTTGAGGACTTTGTTACCCACTGACCAATGTCAATAAAGAAAGCATGTTATAAGGGTGGTTGTGAATAAAGGTGACCAAAAGTGTTAACATTTGGTAGTGGATCAGCAGTCATATGTGATCAAGTTAGTTTAGTATTGCTTCAAAGTGGGAATAAGATGGTGTGAAGTGATAACTAGCATGTTTCAAATTGAGCCCTAAGGTTATCTTTATATTTTGGTAAAACCTACAAGAGGTAGTTGAAGGCATGTGAAAAGTAAGTTTAGTATATCAGATACATATTGGTTGGTTAGGCGAAAAGGATCAATCAAGCTTTAGGTTTGAGGTTGAGAGCTTTGTTTAGGGAGTAAGGCTAAAACAATCTACATTGTTGAACACTTCATTTAGCATAAAGGCAAGGTTTTTTAATTGGTTAAGGTGTTGGGGAGTGTAAATCGGTCAAGTTTAGGTGGTTGTGATAAGAGAAAATGAGGAGGAAATACTTTCCTTTCTACCTGATGAGTGAATTTTCGTGAGCAAACTTTTTTTCTTCTTGGTAAGAATGTAAAGACCTAGAAAGTAGCATTTTAGAAGTGAAATTAGTTTAAAAATAGTAAGACTCGGTTATTTTAATGTTAAAAGGTTTTAATAAAAATAGTTTTGTTACGAACAAGTTTCTTTATTTTTAAAACACATAATCTCTCTAGAAATCACTCTTATAGAGTTCTCTGACTTCTCTCTAAGGATTCTTCCTCTATGCTCGTTAGATTGAAGAACCGAGACTATAGGATTGATCCTTGCGACGAACTCTTTCATTTGGATTGATCAGTTTCTTCGTTCGTGTAATTTGAGTTTCAACTCTTTTTCTTGGTCTTTATTTATTATATGTTGCATGCCCACTTTCATTTGCATGCGTTTTTTTAGTCATCTATATAAGACTTTGTTGATTAGTGGTTCAATGGTGTGCCCTGATCGTGTTCGTCTCATTCCTAGGTGTATATAGGACATCCTGTCAGCTTGAAGGATTCCTTAAAGCAACTTCATCTGTATCTTAGGTAAAGGAAATTAATTACATTTTTTTTGTTATAGATGTCATGAAGTTTGTGATTTGCATGATTGAGTTGTATGATGAATTTTATCTGTTGAATTTGATTTTTTTTTTTGGATTTTTGGCTTGAGGTTTATCTTGGTTGAGTTTATGTTAATCGAGGAACTTATGATTTGATCAATTAAGCAAGTTGGTATATGCCTTGATATTAAAAATTGTTTTTGACCAAGGTACTAAGAAGGGAATACAAATTTGAACATTTGAACAAGTTCCTTTTTCCTAAAATCATAGAAATTAATCTCTTCATATATGATACAACATTGAGTGGTGGCCATTCAACCCTAAACGCCAATTCATTGTGTAGGTTTGGAAGTATTTTAGCTCCACCAGTAGTTTTATCCAGTTGAGCGTAAAAGAATGCAAATGTTTTGGCATTGAGTGCCATTTTTTCACTACAGGTCTGTTGAGTCTAGTTTGTAACAACAGAAATATACCAGCAAGTATACTGGGTTGTTGTAGTAAACAAGTGTCGTATCCACAGTGATTTGGCAGAAATAACAATGTTTTGATAAGTTTGATCTAAGATGAAATTATTTTTATGTAAAAAGTGAGTATGGAGGTTGAGAATATTATCAAATAAATCAGAACTTGATTTAAGCTATTAAAAAAAGTGATTATAGTGTTCAAAACCGTGTTGGAGTTTGATTCCATAAGTTCCTCCTCACACAAGAGGTAAGTAAGTAAAAACTAACATTTATGTTTTCTCGCACTTGTCTTCGAAAACGCAGGGTCAAATAGAATGAAGCACGAAAAAACAATATGCGTGGTTTATGTTTTTACAAATTTTTACAAAACATATGGTAGTAAATTTTTACAACTACCCACCAAATGTTTTAATATTTTCATGAAATTCGAAGGTAATATAATGTCCAAAAGGTGAATTTCCAACTTTAATGGAAGTAAGAATTCACCTCTTTTGACATCTAATTGTTCAGTGGACAATCAAAAGGTCATTTTTCTATTGGTTGACATGAGTCATGCAACCATGTAATGTCTGGAAACTCCAATGTTAACAAACGTTAGAATCTAACATTTTCGATATTAATTAAACATACAATATTTTAGAATTTTAACGTTTAAATTGTAGAATTATTTACAACAATATCACTAATATTTTTAATGTTGATTTTTTTCTAATACTTGAACGCTAGAACTAATACGAGGATAATAAAATGTTTGTATGATAAATGATAATTTAGTTGATTTTGGAAATTAATAAAATAGAGACACGGGACAAAAATAAGAATGTAAATGTCTTTTAAAAACTAATAAAAAGTATAATTATTATGATATAAAAGCTTAACAATGTTAATGTCTTCTAAAACTAATAACTTCATATAGGAATATCTTTTTTATGTTCATATTTATTTTTTAATTTTATTCTTTATATAAATGATTTTTTTTAAATTGAAATAATTTATGAATTTTATCCTTTAAATTATTGTTTTTAAATTTAATTATTTTTTTCGATTTAGTGATTTTTTATTTTTAACCATTTTATTATCACAAAAGCTTGAGGAAGATGGATATCTTTAAAGATTAAATTTGCGTAACTATTATTTTATTAATGACTTTAAAATTAAAGGGAGTTTATTTAACATAACCTCAAAACATATAAAACTCAAAAAATTGAAATAAGAGGATACACAGATAATATATATATATATATATATATATATATATATATATATATATATATATAAATATAAACAAATTCTGTCAAAGCTAAAGGTAGGTATTTTATGGATTGTGAAATCCTCATAGGCTTCTTTAACTTTTATATTTTTTTTTTTCAAAAAATATTTTAAACATAGATAAAGCATGGAAAGTAATATGACTAATCTTTTACGCCATAAAAACTGGGGGAAAACATTCTACGTAAAAATTATTGAATATATAAATATTGGCTTGATTACATATTCGTTTTTAGTTTATTAGCTCTTTCTATCATTGAAATTAATTAAATATATTAATTAATTAAATGTTCATTTTCTAGTCAAAATTTCAAAATTTTACCTTCTAAAAAGCTAACATATATAACACATTACATAATCATTCAAATTCATCAAATAAGTATTACTCTAAGCTTGTTTCATATCACAAACACATCATAAATCTCAAAAAAGAAAAGAAAAAACTAAAAGTTAACAATTTTGAATAAAAGATAATTTGACAATCGAAATTATAAAATAAATATTTAATAGAACTGAATGTGAAGGAACATTAATATCTAATTCCCTCAAATAAATGTTTCAAAAAAAATGAAATAATATATGAATAAATATTTTCATTAGATCAGACAACTTTTACATAATATTACTATCTAATTAAGGACAAACGTAATCTATCTATATTTTCCAATTAATTTAGAGTTTCACTTACAAAATGTAACGTATTTAATAAGATAGATATTATTAAAAAGAAACTCTAAATATGATTGTATAACTGTATTTAAGATATGGTTGTTTATATTAGTCTTCTCTAAAATTTATTCCAAACATTTTCTATGCTAAAAGTATTTTTAAGTAAATTTCTTTTGAACTAATTACATATTTACAACAAATATTTATGTAATTATTTAATAATCCCCTATTCAATTTCAAATGTCATTCTTATATACGAATTATCAATTCAATGCATATCAAAAATAGATTGTCAAATCATTATATATATTTTTTTTCTACCCATTTAACATTTTGTATTTTGAAAGGGTGAGATCTGTGGTTTGGATCTTGCTGGGGCCAAAGCTAGCCTTCAATATTGACAATTGAACACAAACCAAGACAGTGAAATCTGAAGACAACAACTTTAGTGGTAATCATGCATTGGGAGAAAGACTTTGAGGTAGCTCTGTTTCTGGGCAACCATTCTTGTTCTTTTCCCTGTCTTGTTTAATTTCACCATAGAAATATGACACAAATCCCCAAAGAGACAGCACCAAAGCAACCCCTTTCTCTGCCTCAAAATTTTCTTTGTATACAATAACACCCAAAACTTCAGTCACTGGAAGAAAAGCAGCAATTATAATTCCTGAAAACAAAGACGAGGAGCAAAAGATAACCCCTATTGCTCCCAAGAAGAAGAACTGCCACATTATTGCACTCCCCACCAGCACAACATAGTACTTGCTTTCCCCAAGTTCATATTCTTTTGCTTCTCGCGAAATCACCTAAAAAAATAACCACACTTATTTTCTCAACTAACCAACATTATTATTATTATAACACTAATATTCACAATTTAAATGTATGATTTATTAGAAAAAAAAAAGAGGAAATTCAATTGCTTTCATGAGTTTTAATAACTTTTAGTTAATTAAAAGACACATGAAAATAATTTAATTGATATATAAAGTTACAATACACAAATATTTGAGTAAATAGTGAGAATGTTTATTTATACTGTAATTACACTGACATTTAATAATTTTTATAATAAATATCTTCAAGCTTTATATACTATATTCCTTTTTAGTTTAATGGCATGCACAATTATTATAAAACGCTTTTATTTTCTTTCTTATGCAATATAGTCTAAAAAATTTACATAGGAATAAAAAGTCAAGCTTTTTGTATATCTTATCTAATAATCACATGTTGTATAGAAAGAATACATAAAATTAAAGTGTTAAAAAAATTTGAGAGTTGAGTGATGGATATTTTTCCAACCAAAAACAGAGAAAAAGCTTATCCAAACCTTGAAGTCATTATTGATGAGCATGCCAAGGGTGCAGAACAAGGTAGCAAAGAAGCACATCACAAGCTGAATCTCCATCACCAGAGAGTACGTAACGCGCTGCTTGCTCCGTTTGTACACCAACTCCATCAACGGCAGGACCAATCCGTACAGCGCTGCAGCCGCCAGAATCATAACGAAACCGATCACGTACTGCCGCGTGGACTCGCCTGGCGGACGGTCTCCACCGGAACGCAGCGCCAGAACCACCGCCGCGATGGTGAGAAGCACGACGGCGTTGACTGAGTACACCGTGAACCTGTGCCTAACGAGGAGGAAGGCGAAGATGGCGGTGAAGGCGAGGTGCGAGGCTTGGATAAGGGAGGAAGTGGAGACGGGAAGGCGCGCTATGCCGCAGGCGTAGAGGTAGTCGTCGAGGCCGGTGAGGATTCCGATAACGGCGGAGGCGAGAAAGAGAGGCAGTTTGATAGAGACGAGGTTAGGTTTGGGTGAATGATGAGAAGTGGGATGAAAGTGAGAGATTGTTAAGGGAATGAGAATGAGAGGGAAAGCGGCGGTTTCGAGGAAGCTGGAGAGCCAGATTCGGTTGCCGCCGTGGATGAAGTAGAGACGCATTACGAGGGGGCCACCGGAAGTTCCTAGAGCTAGAAGAACCGAGTTTAGTAGTAGGAGCACTCTCTTCATGCTTCTTTTTTTCTGCTTTCTTTTCTCTTCTTCTTCTTTTTCTAACATACATAACTTTCTTTCTTTGTTTTTGGTATGATATTTGTTTGACAACAATGGATGTTTCCGACAGTGATAGCTTGACCAGTATGTAAGACAAGTGGGGTTCATTTATAGATTTCTATAATCTATTTCTTTTAATGATTATTATTAAATTTACATAAATTAATTTTACCTTATGAAATATTGTTATTGGGGAACTCCTTTAAATGTGAATGAATATGGAAATATTTTTGCGGCCTTTTAGTTTCAAGAGTTTGATTGGCAGCATTCATTTTATATACACTGATTTTGAGAACAAAAGTTAATTTTTATATGAAGGTTAAAATTAAAAATAAGTTGTTTAATCTGTAAAGAGTAATTGAAGTGCAGTAAATTGATACTAATATTAAATGTAAAAAAATTGAGTTGTTAAAAAATTGGTGGTGAATTGTTTATATTAATTTATTTTTTAAAAATTAAATTACTTTTAAATAAAAAATTTTGAACTAAATTTAATTAGAAGTTATGAAATTAGAAAATATAATTTAAAAAATATCCATTGATAATATATCAATCATCATGTAAAGTAATTTAATTTAATTTAGTTCACTCAAAATACACGAAATTCAATTCATTTAATCATTATACAATTGAGTTTATTTCTTTCAAATCTTCTTAAATTCTACTTCAATTTTACAAAATTGGTTTCATTTATTTATTTACTTTTTCACTCTTAACCTTTTAGAAAAATACAAAGTTATTTTCAAAATGTGAAAAGGTTATTTTATATTATCTTCATATTATACTTAGTTTATTTTATATATATATATATATTGGGAGAATTTATTCATGTCTAGATTTATCTATATGTGTCGATACAAATAAAATCAATGATCATGTAAATGAATGAGCTAAACAAAGCATGCATAAAGTATAGAAGAAAAACCCTAACAATTAATGAAACAAAGCATATGGATTAAAAAACCAATTCAATACATGAGAGTTTCAAAGCATTACATTGATTCCCCAAAAATAATGAAGGTTTAGTTCACCATAATCATGGTGAAACTAGATGAAAAATAATGAAAGAATGAAAGATAGAACCCTAGAATTTGAAGAGTAGAGCTTAAGCATCCAAAATCCTCCTCCAAGGGGTGAAAAAAGTGTGATTTTGCTTCGTTCTGCCAAAAGATACTAAACCTAATTCGGCTGAAACCTTATATAGCCTTCTAAAAATTACAGAAAATTGGCCCAAGGCCCAATAAAATGGCGCTCAACGGTAAGTGCGGTTCTTCTATTTGACGCTCAGCTGCAATTTTGCCCCTCAACGGTGACTGCGGGACTTCAGAGTGCCGCTCAGCAGTAAAAGTGGCTCTGAGCGATACTTGCGGCTCTTCTTTTATGCACTTTTTCTTTCTTTTCTGAATCCAACTTCTGACTCCTTCACTTATTCCATTCAATTCATATTAAAACCTGCAAAAAAGAGGAAAACCAAACATAAAACCCATCCAACTCTCTTATTTCCAAAACATAAACAAAAACATGATTCCAAGCTAGTTTCTAAGTCATAAAGGTTGCTTTTGATGTCAAAATTAAGTATAAAAGTAACAGTTTTTCAACTGTTATCAGCATCCCTTGGAGGGTGCCCAGGCATGAAACGTTACAGGAAGACTGGCGCTCAGCGCCCCAAAAAGGGTGCCCAGGCGAAACTACGAGAAAACTGGCTCTCAACGCCCATGAATGGCGCTCAGCCCCCCTTTCTGGCGCTCAACCCCAGCGGTAACATTCCAAAACTCACTTTTTTCTGTTGTTTTGCTTGCTTTTATGGCTGATTCAGCTCTATACATTGTTGGATATTCTTCGAGGCACATTATTAGCTACAGAATAAAGAGAATTCAATAATAAAATCATAAAGTATAACCTGTATTCACTTATTCATAAAACTAAACTAAAAACATGAGTTCAAGCAAGCTTTTAAGTCAAAAAGAGTTGATTTACTATTAAAATTGAATAACAAATAATGGTATTTTCAACCGTTATCACAACGCCAAACTTGAAACTTTGCTTGTCCTCAAACAAAATGTAATTTGGCTTAAACAAAATAATCATACTACAATGGTCTAGCACACCAAAAAGCATTTTCCTCTAGGACAAGTAAATTACTCATGTTTGCTCATCATAAAATGATTAGTCAAAATATAATGATGTTTTAGCCAATCAAGCTTCAACTATGGCGCTCACATAATCAAGACATACACAACAGATGCAACAACCTTATGAATAATCAACAACCAAGAAAGAATGTTATCATAAAGTGCATGGAACAATTCCTCACCAAAGATAGTGTTTCACTCAAGCACTCAAAAGTGTTTAACTCAAACTCAAAGGTGTATAGTGAGGTGACACTCTGACACTTTGCCATCACAATGTCACATGAATCAACTTTGTCTTTCATTTAATCACAAATCAAACACACTCACAAGCAAGTTATCATCCCAGGGATTTTTCAAGGCTTGGAACATGGCCGGGCTAAGAAGAAAATTGGTTTTTTTAAACAACAAAATCCTTGAGTTAAGAGAGTGCACAATTCATTTATTCACATTAACAATAAACTCTCTTTCTTATTTTATGTGAGAAATCAATATTCAACTCATTCCCAACTTTTCTTTCATTGAACTTAACCTTTTCTTTCCTTTCTTTTCTTTTTGCTTTCACTTTTTTTTTTTGCTTTTGCTCAATGCTCTTTTAATGAATTTCACAAAGTTCTTTCCGATTTCTCACAACCCCAAACTTGAATCAATCTCCATTACCATATAAGCATACTCTACTCAACTCAAGGTAAGGATTTAAAAACATATATTCAAAATTTCACATTTAGGCTCAAGGTTCAAAGGTTAAAGAAAAACATTATTCTTTGTTGGGTTCACATATTGGCATTGGATTATAAGGGAGAAGAAAACATGGCCATGATCATGTGTAACCAGCAAGCAAGTGATCCAATCATAGAAAATCAAGCAAAATCAATCATGCTTCCAAAGTAATAGCATTCAATCAATCAAAGACTCTGGAGTCCAACCTCTCACAGGTTAACTTAAGTTCCATAATTTGATAAACACACTGCCCAACAAATTAATCATAATTGAAATCATGCATCTGTTTTTAACAAAACTATGAGCAACCACCATAAAAGCTTAAAAGCCTCACCAATCATTAACTCAACATGCATCATAAAACAATAGAGCAAACACAAGAATATTACTCATCACAAACAACAGTTTATCACATCATATCAGACCATTGCAGCACAATTCATTAAACCAAGTACATAACAACAAAATAAACACAATTCAAATAAGCATAAAATAAAGCAAAAATATAAAAATCTTGATCCAACAGCATCCATCAGTAGATGCTTTCCCCTAAATCTTCCAGCATCCATCAGTAAATGTGAATCCTTCTCATCAACATCCATCAGTAGATATTGATCTTTCTCATCTTCATCGGCATCCATCAGTAGATTCCTTTAGTAGCATCCATCAGTAGACCCTTAATCACATAGCATCCATCAATAAATGCTTAATCTAGTAGCATCCATCAGTAGATGCTCTCATCTGAATCTTCATCATCATAACATCCATCAGTAGATGCTTTAATCTAGTAGCATCCATCAGTAGATGCTCCTCTTCATAGTAGCATCCATCCGTAGGTGCTCTCATCTAAATCATCCTAGCATCCATCAATAGATGCTCTCCAGAAGATCAATCCCTCCTGGCATCAGACTCATCATCATCATCGTCGTCGTCATCCTCTTCTTCTTCTTCCTCATCTTCCTCTTCCTCCTCTTCTTCTTCTTCAGCATCCTTCTCCATAGCTGTGGCTCCAGATGCTCCAACTCCTCCACTAGCCTGAGCTGGATCTGCAGGCCATGCAACATAAGCCTGGAATTCTTCTTGAGACATGAACTGTCTCTCAGGAAAGGCAGAAGTCAGTGTTCATCAACAAAGCCTATTCCCCTCTATACAGTGCCTCCATCCTAGATTCCATTAGAGACATGTACATGACTCTCATCTGGAACGGAGCAGCATCATGGGCCTGATCCTGCTGTGCCTGTTGTGGTGCTCTCCTATGAACTCTAGGAGGTTGAGGTGCTGGCATAGGGATTCCTGCCAAATCCAACATGCAATACTGGGTATAATAGGAGGCATCTATCTCCTTCCTAGGTCGCTCAAATGGAGGAGTGGAGGTATTCACCCCAACTAGCTCACATAAGTGTAATGAGAGAGGGATGCCCCATATGTGACTTGTTGTTGACGACATGGGCACATTGTTTAATTTCATTTGTTATCACTTGCCCCACATTGATATTAAGACCTTGGAGCACACAATAGAGGAAGACAACTCTATGTGTCGTGATGTCTAATACATGAGGGCATGACTAGATGTTGGCATGAGTGAATTCCATCCAATATTTTGCTAGAGGAGTCAAGTAGGACCTCCTGATATGGATTGTCTTATCATTCCTGTTCCTCTAAAACTGGCCACCTGCCATGCCCAAGGTCCTCTCCCCATCAGCATAGTTAATGTCCTCCTCCATGGCTAGAGCAAACTGACACTGCTCTCCTGCCCATTTAGCACCCAAGAAAGAATTTATAGTGACAGCATCAAAAGGGATCCTCTTTCCCCTCACATAGCTTGCATACATCTCATGAGTAGCACCACGAAATGTCTTAGCATTCATGTAAAACTCCTTCACCACCGCTATGTTAGCAGGTGAGGGGTAATAAGCTAGATTCTCCCATTGTCTCCTTTCTAGCTCTCTCCCAAATTCAGGTGCCATGGTGGGTATTAGTCCCACCTTTCTTTCCATCAAAAGCCTCCTATTTTGCACCATCTGAAAGTGTCTCTCATGCATGTGTGAGAGGAACTTGTTGGAATATATCTGCTCTTTTCTCTTCTGTCCTCTATCAGCAATGTGCTTAATACGCTTTCCAAATGATGAAACCATATCTGCACCACAATCAAACACAATA